AATTATTACTATTTATATTTTTAAAAAATAAAATAAAATAATTCGTTCATCTTCTTCCTTTCTCTTTTTCTTTTTTTTCTTCCTCTTCTTTCTTCTTCTTCTTCCTCTTCTTCCTCGGGTTATTGAACCCTCTGTTGGGTTCGATGGAACCCAGAGCTAGGTTCCATCGAACCCAGGGCTGGTTCGATGGAACCCAGCCCTGGGTTTGACGGAACCCAACACTGGGTTCCACCGAACCCAGAACCCAGCTCCACTTTTTTTTTTTTTGTGTTTATATGATTGTTTGCCAAAAGATTATTCAAATTGCAGGTTGTTGCAAGTGATTTTTGGACAATTGAGCTGGGTTCGATGGAACCTATTTGCTGGATTACATCGAACCCAGATTTGCTGGGTTCCGTCGAACTTCCGATGGGCAAAGAAGTAATTGTTAGTGGTGATGTGGATTTGGTGTGTTTTTGTCAGGTAGCATGTGACATGGCAAAAGTTTTATCCATGTCATCACTTTTTGAAGTTTTGCTCTCCACATCATAAAAAAAAATATAAAAAATGCCACCTAAGCAGAGTTAACGGCCCAAATTAATAGAAGGACTAACGGAGTGCATTTCGTATAGTTGAGGGATAAAAAAGTGCAAAAAATTGTTAAGGGACCAAAAATGTTTATTTCTTAAAATTGAGGGACCAAATTAAGCATTTAACCTTATGGTTTTTATCGAGACGAGTTAATTCGGTTTGAGGTTTGAAAGTTGTGTTTTCTCTCCCCCAATTCCCGAAGTTCATAAAAAATAATCAGATTGGATCCTAAACCCCACCAACTGTTTTAGTAGGTGAACAAAGAACGGGATGGTTTTTTTAAGGAGACCGCTGGGTTTGTATTAGCCCATGAGTTGAGTTTCTTAATTGCGACTGTAATGGATTTAGGTATCCATTGTACTCGTTGTGAATAAAATTTTCTTCGATTTAGAAAAAAGAAAAAAAAGAGAAAAGATATTTTAGAACTTGTTTGGTGCAGTTTGTTGAAATTTTTACTTTTAGAATACTGTTCATGAGTGATAAATTTAAATTTTTATTGGAAGAAAAATTTAAAAATTACTTTTAGATATAGGAAAAAGTTAGCAAAAAGAAAGTTTACGAAAAGTTTGAATTTGAAACTTTTGATCTTTTACTGTTTAGGATCTTTTTAAGAGTAAAAAAAAGTTTAAAAATGTAAGTTTTTATGGGAAAAATTTAAACTTATGAGACATGAATAATGTACATGGATTAATGTAACAGTTGATATTAATTTTAGTATCAGGTGAATTTAATTGAATAGTTAATAAATTAAAAATTAATTTTTATTTTTTTAATGCAAATTTATAATGAAAAAGTGTATTTAATACACCTTTGATGGTACAAATTAAACAAACCCTATAGTATTTTACACACAAATTTTAAACAAAACTATAAACATTTATTTTTAATTATTAATAGTGAAGAGTTATTATAATTTTTTAGATAAAAAGAAAATTAACTTGAAAAAAATAAAAATATATTTTACAAGTAAAAAAAACATTTTTTTATTAACTTCTTAGTATCGATAATTATATTGGGTCCCAACTAATTCGGAATTGAATCATGTTGGACCCAATAAGGAGACAAGCTCTCCCAAACACTTACTTCTTCATTCACAATACTCGAATTCAAAATCTTGTTTAAGAAAAATCAAATTTCTTTTATTTAAACTAAAAGGTCATTAGTAGTAAAAGAATACAATTTAACATATGAATTTATCAAAATATTTTTAATAAAATATCTTCATATGTTATTTTATTAATAATAATTTAGTAATTTTAGTATACAGACTACATTTAAAAAAAATGTACTCCAACATGTAAAACATGACTCTCAAATAAGATAAAAAGTGTATTAATCTTAGCTATTCATAATGGATAGTAAACAATAGATGGTCAAGATTTTA